GCTTCTATTAGTTCAGACCTGGTTTTAGTTACAGAATTGCTTGCTTAACAGTTTTTCAAGCCAACACCAGCAGAAAGTAGCAAGACTAATAATAAAAAAGAATTTACAGTGAATCAAACAGAAATTTGTGATAACTTCTCTCGCAAAAAGAACGTTAAAGAATAATAATTGAGGGAAGAGTGGGAATGAGGAGGAATCATACTTGGAGCATAAAAATGGGAAAATGAAAGCTGATAAGAGAAAGAAAGATAAGAAAACAAAAAGGCCGATCGAAAGAGGAAAACATACCCGGCTGTATAATACGAATGAAACCCCTGTTGTCAATATTGACAATAGAAACAGCAGAAAGACAAAAGAACGCCAAATGCTTCGACCCATGTCTCGCTATTTTCCAGCGCTGTCATTTCGTTATCCCCACAAAAAAAAAAAAAAAAAAAAAAAAAAAAAACAAAAAGGAAACAAAAAGGAAACAGGGAAACAAAATATCCCTGCAGCTGGAGATGATGAGAAGAAGAGCAGGATATCTGAGGGAAGTTATAGGATTTCCTTCAGCTTCGTTTTCTGCGCTTGAGTCAGTATAGTTGGGAACTTGATCTGGACCTTCACAATCAGGTCCCCGCGTTGGCCGGGGAATTTCGATTTTGGCATGCCGAGGGATGGGAACTTCTCCTCGAAGTTTGGCTGTGTCGGACCCGCTCCGGAGACTCGCAGCTGTTTGCCCTCGATGGTGGTTACTGTGCGGTTCCATCCCGTTAGAGCTTCTTTGAGGGGGATTTCGATGGTTGTGATAAGATCGTCCCCCTCACGTTTTAACGTTGGGTGGTCTTTCTATTGCGTGGATATGAGTTAGTGAACGATTTGCGAGTGCAATGTAATATTCATGTATTTCCACTTAGACAAGAAGAGAAACAGGAATAATATCAAAATCGAACTTACCTCAGTAATGATAAAGTGAAGGTCCTGCGTGCCCCCTTCCTCCTGATCTCCCACCCCAGTATACTTAATCTTACTCCCTGCCTTCAACCCAGGCTTGACATCAAACTCCAAAATCTTATCCTCCACACTCCTCTTCCCCGTCCTTTCATCAAAAGTCTTCCTCTTAATTTTCATCCGCTTATGCACCCCGGTAAACAATTCCTCCAACGAAAGCGGCAATGGCCGCTCCACTGTCGTGACCTCGGGCGTCGGTGCCCTTCGCTGTGCCCCAGTTGAACCACCTTTACGCCTTGCCCCAGCTCCCCTTGCACCACCACCTAAACCACCCAGCATCGAAAACAGGTCGTCGTCATCCATTCCCGCACCGCCAGATCGGGCAAAGTTGGAGAAGATATCCTCCGGGTTGCTGAAGTGGAATCCACCGGGGCCACCACCTGTGGAGAAGTGGAAAGTCCGCGCACCGCCGCCACCAGGCATGCCTCCAAAGCTCGCGAAACCACCAGGCATGTCACCAGCGCCGAAAGGCATGCCTCCCGCTCCGCCAGCCCCAGGAGGAGGCTCTGTGGTGCCCCCACGCAGCAGGAATTCGAGGCCATATTGGTCATAGATTTTGCGTTTTTCAGGGTCGGATAGAACTTCATACGCTTGGGATACCTCTGCACAAAATGTGAATTTTCTCAGCAACCTTTAATATTTCCACTTCAATGATCCTGACTTCTTTCGCCATCTTCTTGGGTGTAAATATGTAGAGGAACAAACTTACCTTTAAATTTCTCTCCAGCACTTGGATCGTTCTTATTTTTGTCCGGGTGGAATTTCAGTGCTGCTTTCCTAATGTTATGCTTAGGAGTCAGCAGAAGCCGTTGTGGAAAACTAGGAAAAATGACAAAGGAAAACGACTAACACAAACGGAGTACAACGAAAAACTCAAGGAAACACTGATATGTAGTATATTGAAAAAAGAAAAAAAAAAAAAAAAAAAAAAAAAAAAAAAGCAGGAGGAAAAAACAAGGGAAAGAAAATGAAACAAATGATGGGAGGAGGGGAAGAGACATACTTGTAGGCCTTCTTAATCTCATCCTGAGTGGCAGTTGGAGGGATGCTTAGGGAATCGTATAGCTTCGTTTCCACAACCATCTTTTTCAAACTGCGTTAATTAATGAGGAATGGAAGAGTGTCGTCGATACGAGAGACGAGGAGAGAGCGGATGGATGTGCTAATGTTGAATGAACGGATAGGATTGGGAGAGGAAGATCGGTCGAAGCAGAGTGGTCGAGGGCTAGAGGCAGGTGTGTGAGCAAGCTGGTCTTTTCTGGTATTGCACACATGCAAGTATGCGTGATTGTGGGAGTATATAGAATGGGGCTGCTCCCAGTGGAAGATCCAAACGGAAGAGAAGTGGGAGGATGCTGGTACTCTACTTACCTTTACACCGCTGTGTGTCGAATCAAGGCACGAGAGAGGCGACGAAGGAGGTAGGAGGGATATGTGAGGTGTGGATTTATCAAAAATCCACAAGTGTGGTCGTGTGTAGACAGACGGTGGTGGTTGTAGAAAACGAACGGATGTTGGTTGACGGACGGTTTCTTCTGCAGTCTATTTCTTGACGCTGTGATTCTGTGGTTTGAAGTTGGTGGTCGCAGTTCGAAGAATCGACACGGCAAGTGATGGAGTTGGATCGTGTGTGAAGCAAGTGACGTTGTCCGCTCAGTCTTGGTCCCCACCGGATATGCAAGCAGGAATGGCTCTCAATTCCTGCCGAAGCTAAGCCCGAGCACAAGAAAATCGGTTGCATCATGGCGGGAACTCAATTCGATGGAAGCTTCGCGAAGCTTCCATCGACTACTTCGGTGGTCCACTGGAGCTGGGGTTGAGGATACTTCGTTAATTCCCTCTTTTGGGTGTTAAACGTGGCATCCTTATTGATATTTGTATGTACTCCGTATGCATGTAACGATGGAGAATATTCACTTGATCCAGTTGATAAACCGCTGTCCAACGCTTTGTTGTTTCTGGCCAAAGCTTTAGTGGGGTGATGCAGCCCTAATCAGATGCCCTAATTGGCCCGATTCGGACGGTTTTGGAGATCCCGCGATATGCTTTATCTAGTACCCGCTGTGATTTTAATGATACTATATTGTCACCTTTGTAGCGGCCGATTCAGGAACCAGTCGTCCATGCATTTAGATCTAGGTGTATATGATTTCCCCCTCACTTCGTAGCTATCGACACCACATCCTCATCAGCAATGACATGTCCCAGCCCCACCCGCTGTGGAACATGTCGTGCACTAGCCCCCCAAACCAACGCATATTTAAAATTATCCTTCAGTGTCCGATGAATTTGATCGCACACATCTTCGATCGTAGCGTTATTGCGCACAATCAATGCCTCTGAAAAGTCGGGATCGACGCCCTTTCTGTTATAATTGTCCAGGTTTGTATTGAATTCCGAGAGAACCCCATATGTGGATGGATAGAAAGAACTTACCGTTTGGTGTATACCCGAATAAGCTGCAACTCCTTCCAGCACCGATCAATCACGTCCTGAATACCCAGATCCAGTTCGCAGCTCATAACGCACGTGTTAGGTTCTCGGGCTAGTTTGTCGAGGAAGTCCAGGCTCACACTGTCTATTTTGTTGTAGACATAAAGGCTGGTGGGCAAGAAAAAGTGTGTTAGTTCGACAGATGTTACGGTTTTAACGAAACTCAAGAGAAAGTAAAGTACCATTTAATGTATTTCCTGTGGTCTTTCATAATAACATCGATAAAGTCATCGACAGTAGCTGAGCAAGATATCCATTAGTTCTCCTCGCCTCTGTGCAGCATATTTAGGAAGAAACAGGAACGTGGAAAAAGAAAAAAAAATACTTAAATCGACAAACGTACCATTCTCATCCCGGACCAAAACTTCGCAATTCAAAATCTTGTAGTCGCGTAATATATTGAAGACCATTTTTTCATCCAGATTTTTCGGCGGCGTCTGGAATGTGATTTTCATACCTCCTGCTTTTTTCGCTTTCAGGTAAATATTTCTTCCAACACATAATGGAGATACACATATATTAGCCTAGATGTTATGAATAGGGTACCGCATTTAAAGCAGCAATAACTCACGGCGGTTCCCGATTTAACCGGATTCCCACTGCCTCTAACTCAGCTTCCAGTAGCGCTCGCTGTTCGGCACGTTTTGTAGCATCAAGAACCATCATTATTAGATCGCTAGTCTAGCAGCAGAGATTTTGTTAGATATACGAAGTTAATATATTCAAGAACAGAGGAAGACAGCCATAATGAAAAACACCGGGGATATAATGCCTGCACACCTTTGCGGTAGAAATAACCTGCCTCCCTCTACCCTTACCCTCGGCCGCGCCTTCGATAATACCAGGGAGATCAAGGATCTGGATCTCGGCACCGCCGTACTCCAAAACGCCCGGGATCGCCGTGAGCGTAGTGAATGAATATGCTGCAACTTCACTCTTCGTCTTCGTAATCTTTGATAAAAAAGTTGACTTGCCAACGGATGGGAATCCCACCAGGGCTATTCGCGCATCCCCGCTTTTGCTCACATCGAATCCTGACCCACCGCCAGACCCCGCTCCACCCGTAGGCTCGAGAAGCTGTGCTCGTAGTCGTGCAAGTTTTCTGCGCATGTCAAGTTAGTTGTATTTTATTGTCCGCGAGCTCAGACCATTTTGCTATCGTGACTTCTGCTGTGTATAGAATGGAGACTCTGCTTCCTTCCAGTCTCCAAAAAGGAGGCATATGTTATCCGAAGCCCCTTTAAACAGACAACCTCCAGGCTTGTAGACTTGGATCAATTGGGTATGAGACAGCATTTTATCACAAAAGGAGTTTTCACACATGGAAAGGAATGTTCGCTTCGCAGTTAGAGAAATTGAAAGAGAAAAAATACGATATTTCACATATAGGACATACCCTTTGAGGAGACCAAGATGGTATTCTAAGAGCGATTTTGATATCAATATACTGCCACCAACAGATCATCAGATTTGAACAGTTTTACGAACCCGTTGCCTTATTCTCTATTCACCAGAGAGTCAGCTATAGTATTATTTGCAAAGAAGGATAGAACAGCTCACTCTGCGTCCTGCGCATCTCCTCCTCGATCCTATATAAACAGAAACATCACCATGTTAAACTGGCTCATGGGAATCCAGGGTTACGGTGCTCCCTCACTCTTTGATTTTCTCTGTGATATTCACCATTTTTGCAAGGCACCCCTGTTGGGCGAAGGGATTGCTCCTTAATAAGGCAAGATGGAGTAGTTAATTTATTATCAATGAAAACCAGTTTAGAACAAATGCCTTCGCAGTTACAGCGGCATACATTCCTGGTGGGCCCAGCCGTTTGGCTTATATAATCTTTTTTTTCGACCTCCTCGACCTTCAGGCGGACCAGAGAGCTACATAATTCAACTCCAACGCAACACTCAACCAAGACCAACGCAACAAAGACCAACGCAAAAAACAACTACACCTTTAGCCATGGCTGATGTAGCTGCCATGCAGCAGCTTACTGTTCCTTCTACCTCACCCGGACCCGACACTAGAATACAAGAAGCCTCAACTCCCTCCATGGATCTCGCCGTCTCAACTGGCGCCGACACCTCACTTGCGACAAGCTCTACTGACGTAGCAGACCATGAAAAGAAAACAAAGAAGATAATCCGCCGAAAGCGAAGACCAGCCCGGCCACAAGTCGATCTAGCAACAGTAAAATCCGAGCCTCCACCGCAAACAGGCACGATATTCAACATCTGGTACAATAAATGGTCTGGTGTGATCGCGAAGATAAATACCTCTCACAACAATCTTGCTCCTTCACGCTGTAACATAGCCCGGGACAGCGGCTACACGCGCGCGGACAAAGTCTGGTCATACTTGCTTTCTTGCACGCGCTGTGCCCCAAGGCCATGAATGTGACTACCTACATCGTCTACCCGGCTTGCATGACCTGTTCAATCCAAATGTGGACTGTTTCGGCCGTGACAAACACAGTGATTACCGAGATGACATGGGCGGCGTCGGAAGCTTTATGAGACAGAACAGAACACTATACATTGGCAGAATACATGTATCAGATGACATCGAGGAAATCGTCGCGAGACATTTTGCTGAATGGGGCCAGGTGGAACGCATCCGTGTGTTGAATTCTCGAGGCGTGGCGTTTGTGACGTATACCAATGAGGCAAATTCACAGTTCGCCAAGGAGGCAATGTCGCATCAGAGCCTAGACCACAATGAGGTACTCAATGTGCGGTGGGCGACGGTTGATCCGAACCCGTTGGCTCAGAAGAGGGATGCACAACGAATTGAGGAGCAGGCGGCAGAGGCAGTGAGAAAGGCGTTACCAGCAGAGTTTGTGGCGGAGCTGGAGGGGAGAGATCCTGAGGCGAGGAAGCGAAAGAAGATTGAGGGGAGTTTTGGGCTCAGTGGTTATGAACCCCCTGATGAGGTTTGGTATGCACGCACTAGGGAGTTAGAGCAGGAAAAGGAGGCACGACAGATTGAAGCTTCGGAAGCTCGTTTGATTGAGGATGCCCCAGCAGCGACACAGCAGCAAGTGGAAGGTGGTGGTTGTGGAATATTATCTAGCTCCACGCTGAGTGCATTGAATGGGTTTACAGGTGGAAATTTTACCACAAAGGAAGCAGCTCCAGCTTCCAGTGGTCCACTAGTTGCTTATGATAGTGATGATAGCGATTGATTTTTGTAGGTTAGATTTTCAAATATGATTGTATGAACAATAGTCTTTTTTAAATCCTTGAGGAACTATTCTACATATTGGCAAACATTAAACTCTCTTCTGGAGGGGGCCCATGCAGGAGTTCCGCATAAACAGAGGGGTATCATTTACTCATGTCATTCATGGTTCATTCATTGAATATTCATCTCTAATACGTTCATTTCTCATTACTACGTGAGAGATCATAATAGATACAACTACCGGTCCGGTAATTGTAGATAAACGCGTTCTTATATTTTTCTTTGCCATCCTGAGGGTCTCGACGCTCATTGGCAAGGTCGTTGAGCATTTCATGCACCTGAGCCATATACTTCCTTTCCGTTAATGGGCAGTTCTGTATCAAAGTCCGCCACCTGTCAGGATCTGAAAGACGAATGTCCCGGAGGGCTTCCAAAATATCGTCTCGAGTATCAATTGCTGCAATAGGTCCATCAAGCGCTCTGTCCATTACGCTGCGTGATTCACGAATGGCTATAAAACGAAAAGGTAACGGTTAGAATAAGGCCTTCCTTGCACCAATTGTTTGCAATCTTCAAAAGGGGACATAACATACCGGCCTCAATGATGTTTCGCCTGTTCATTTTCTTGTTCCGGTGGATCGCGGTCAGAATCCTGACATCCGGATCTTTTTCTCCAGCCGGAACGCTGGACTCTCGATGGTACAGATGTTTCAGGGGTTTGCCAGCATTTGTTAGACGCTCACGTTGATTCCGTATGCGGATTTCATTTAGAAGCCACGCCGCCAACTCAGAACTTCTGACCTCATACTCTTCCTTGGTGCTAATATTCTTAACTTTCACGCCCCGCTCCATGCTATCCTGCTTGACGATGACGACCCAGCTATGATTATCATTTCTATAACGCGTGATAATCTCCTCTAGGGAAGAAGCATCGACGGAAAGTTCAGCACTTATCCCATTCGCCCAAAGGTCTTGAACGACCCCAACACCCACGGTACGAAGGACTGCAGGGTCAAAACTAGCGACGAGGACATCACACTATTTCAATCAGAATTCGACAAACTCGTACTTCTCTAGCGAAGATTTAACTTACCCGTCTGGACCTCCAGATTCCGCTTATCTCCGTCTCTCCTTGCTTGAGGAAGGCCTTGTTTGACCCTTTCAAATAGTTCGACATTGAGAGGTACAGTTTTTCCCATCCGAGGTTAAATCCGACAGCATGACGCTGGTTGCCTGAATACAGAACTTTAGGGTGGAATTCTTGAATGAGGCTGTCGTACCTTCCTCCGGCCGCAAAAACATCCCGACGTTTAGTATCAGAAACGCATTGAAAGAGAACACTTCCGCGAAAAAATTTATCATTAAGACTGCTCAGCGGGTTCACATAGACCTTTCTCTTCACGCGGAATCCTTTAAGATACGACACCACGGCATTTAGACGGGCGAATATTGGGGCGAGACGGTCTGTAAACTCTGTTCCTTCCATGATGGTACGAAGCCGCTTTAGGGCTTTGTCTGGACTATCTGTTCTTCGGCATCAGAAAACGTCATATGCTTAAAATAAGAGTTAGAACAGAACAACAAACCTCGAAAGTCGAACCTAGCAAGGTCGTCGACCGAAGTTGAAGCGACCCCGATAGTTGGAGATCGAAGCTCACTTCTAATTTTCTGTATTGAGTACGGCCCGATGTTCAGTTTGCTAATGATTTCCTTCACTAGGGGCTTTTGCTGGGGGCTGATTCGACAGAATGACAAAATCGCGTCCAGGAGATCTGAGTGGTTAATGTGGAAACACATCGGGGCTGACCTCAGGGAAGGGAACTCATTCAAAATTTCATCCAAAACTTTCATGACTTCTGCCTCCTTTAACGCCAAATCCAAAGTGTTATGAGATATCATGTCAAAGTCAACCTCATGATGGCCACGCGGTGCTCCCCCGTGTATAGATTCCCGGTAGACGGTGCCAAAGGTGAAGGTCTTCTCGATGGAAGAGTCCAATCTAGATATAGAACGAGCATTCGGAAGAGTGAGGTCATAGGGTAGCTGGACAAGGTTGCCTGACGGGTCTAAAAGTCGCACCACCCCTGACGGGTAGTGCTCGGAACGTGGAAAGAGAGAGCTGCGTGTCGTCTCAATAGCGCCGTGTTTCCGGAATATCGATGATAATTTCTCTTTTACAAGACTTTGAAGCAACACTTCATTAACAGATGGCGTCCCGCGGGCGTCCATATCCCACGCGATGTCTTCGAATTTTCTGGTGGGTTGGGAGAAAATGGCTGATAGGATTTTATTATAGTCCGGTGAGTTGCGATCAGATAGAATGCCCATAATAGCCTTTCGAAACATTTCTTCCTCAACTTGTAGCGGTATTTTGTCGCTTTGAAGAAGTTCTGCCGCGGTTGGTCGTTCACTTGGACGGTGGCTCAGAAGTGATTCAATTATTTCGCCTTGGATGGCTTTCTCTGGTACCTCGAATGTCGATGGGAGCGTATGAACTTTTTCCCTAACCATCTGTAAAGTACGATCGCGTTCCATCGCCGTCTGGAGAGGATGACACATTTCCAAAAATATTATACCAAGTGAATACATCTACTGATATTAGTATTCCTTCAATTGGGTGTAATTCCACAAGGCATTAAAATATTACGAAAGGAGAAGACTTACGTCGACTTTCTCATTGTACTGGCCTAACGACGCTGATTTCATTTCAGGAGCAACATAGTAGGTGGTGCCTACACTCCTGGTATAGTTCCCACCGATATCTGTAACATTCGAAGATCGAACTGCCATTGTGAACTGGCCGGTCGTAGCCAGGCCAAAGTCGCCGATGCGCGGGTTGTTCGCAACATCGATAAAAATATTATCCGCTTCAGATGAATAATACCATGGCTATGGATATGGCTTAGTCCGTCCAAAATCTGTCGGAACAATCTCCAAGAAAACTGAATGTCGTCATATAATCCGTTCCTAATTAAATCGCGAAGGGTCTATTAAAAAATACGGTTAAATCGTCACTTTTCGTTCATTAGGATATCTAGGACTGGAATACTCACATGCTTTTCACAATATTCCATCTGAATATAAAGCGTAGTTGTCACAATATGGGATGATGATCCCGATCTCTGCCTTTGGAGGTTTGACCCTTCATCTGTTTTCGAAAGGCTCTGCGGCCGATGGTGGCCAGATTCTTCTGAGGCTATATCCGTGTGGTCTTGTCCATCACTCTCGTAACCAAATTCTATATCAGGATACCCCTTCGAGCTTATGAAGTCAAGTCCACTTGCGCTATATCCAAAATCGACGTCGTCTTCAGGATGAGGCGAATTTGCTTCTGTAGATGATACTGCCTCCTCGTCAATAGCGTGACAGTCTCGTTCGAGCCATGCAGTAAAATACCGCACGACGTATGGATGATTAAGCCTTGATAGTAACATAATTTCAGACAAAGTATCTTTGAGAGCAATTCCTGATTTTGAAGAGATTTTCTTGATTGCGTAAAACCCGCCGTCAAGTTTATTTCGCGCTTTCACAACTTGCCCGAATCCTCCCCTGCCTAGACGCCCAGCTTCATCGAAGTCCTGTCCATATCGAGAAAATGAAGGAAGGGCGGCTTGGGAGTCAAGGCGGCTTCGTCTTCGGGTTGGGATTGAATTCGATGCGGCCGATGGCTCAAGCAGTGGCGCATTGATTCGGAGGAACTCGGATGGCTGAATTTGGAATGCGGTAGGTCTTTTT